ATTTCACATCATGCAACTGTGTGCACATGCACACAGGTCTAAAAAAATCTGCAAAACTGATCATCTTAAAGACAACAGAGAGAACAAATGAGTTACCTGCAGAACAAAATTGACTCACAGTAGTGTTCTCAAAGATTATAATAGAGGCCAAAAGGAATTAATGTCTTCAAAGTGCTGATTTTTAAAAAGTCAGTCAAGAATTTCATATTCTTCAAAACTGTTTTTCAAGAGTGAATGTAAGTTTAAAGTAACTTCTAATAGACTGAAAGAGTTTACAATAAACACTGCTGAAGAAAACTACTGAAGGATATACCACTTGTAGAAAGGAAATTGAGCTTATAAGGAAATAGTGAAGAAGCAGTGTTAAAACTAATAATTAAAATAGAAAACGAAAGAGAGTGAGCACCTAAGTGCAATGCACATTCATATAATAATTCCTGTTTACTCTCTATAGCAAGCATTTCCTATCATGGAGTCCAGTATCAATCCTGTCATTATTATTTTTGTTTTTCATGTGAGAAGCTCAGACTCAGGGGTTAAATTTCTTACCCATTGGGCATAGTGGTAATGAATGCCCATGTCTGGCGGGCTCCAATGCCCTAATTCTGTTCATTGCACTACAATCTAACACCATAGTTAGAAACAGAAATATCAAAAGATGACAATTTAAATCACTTGTAATAACACATAGTGTATTAGTCTGTTCTCACACGGCTAATAAAGACATACCAGAGACTGGGTAATTTATAAAGGAAAGAGGTTTAATTGTCTCACAGTTCAGAATGGCTGGGGAGGCCTCAGGAAAATTACAATAGTGGTGTAAGGGGAAGCAAACACATCCTTCTTCACATGGTGACATCAAGGAGAAGTGCAGAGCAAAGTGGAGAAAAAGCCCCTTACAAAACCATCAGATATGGTGAGAATTCACTCACTATCATGTGAACAGCATGAGGGTAACCACCCCATGATTCAATTACCTCCCACCAGGTCCCTCCCATGAAAGTGAGGATTATGGGAACTAGAATTCAAGATGAGATTTGGATGGGGACACAGCCAGACCATATCACTTAGAGATAACAATTATTTATATAATGAAATATTTCTTTCCTGTTTTTTGCTCCCACATATATATTTTAAACAAGTGAAATTTCCCTTATTCCATAAATACTTGTCAAAAACATTTTAAAACCCTTGCAATGAACTTTGGTCTTTTCAAGTTTGGCAATTGATGAATCTGACCATTGTCATGGCTGGAAATATCATGATTGGGGCTCTTCGTTCTGACTGTTAAACAGTTGGATTCTCTTTGTCTTCCTATGTGGTATTGCTTTGAGCTTCAGATTGATATGGCTGACAATCTTTACAAAGTAAGGTTTGTTTTTTTTTTTTTTTTT